CCTTTCCCCTTTTTGAACTGAGACCTTTGGTTGGTTGGTTGGTTGGTGTTGGGAAACAGCACACTTGAAGGTCGTGTTTTACATGTTCTTTTGACGATTCGTGTTCGAGTTGTGACCTGTGAGACCTCAGGTTGAAGTCGTGAGTGAGGATGAGGACGAGGACGACGACGATGAGGTCTTTGGACTCAGCGCATGTTCTGTTCGTGTGCAGTAAAACTGGTGTTGCAGGGATCGTCAAGGCCAAAATGACAAAGAAAAGAGAGAAGAATCATCGAAAAGGGAACAGAAAAGAGCAAGGAAAGGCCCTTCACTTCTTTGCTTTCTTTCTAGTCAGTGCTGAACCCACCAGCTTCGGCTTGGTGGGAGATCCTCCATTGGCGCCATGGTGTCGTCCGGCTCAGGTTCCTCCCTTAGCAGCGGCTCAGCCTGCTGAAGATCGGAGCGAGGCGCATGTGAGATGTGACATGATGTGATGGGGTTGTGATTCATTTGTCGTTGGCTTTGGAGAGCTGAGCTCAATTAGGTTGAAGAAGGGGCAGAAGTTCGGAAGAATGCCGTTCATGTCTATGGTCCGGCACTCATTTCTATTTTGTTTCTATTAATTCGTATACAAAATTGAAAAGATAACTATTAGGTTGGAGGCCATCGCCGCTACTAGGTTGGAGGCCTTCGCTATTAGGTTGGAGGCCATCGCTGCTAGGTTCTAGGCCATCGCCATTAGGTTCTAGGCCATCGCTATTAATTAGTCTAATAAGTCAACTTAGTATGCTAGGAAGGTCCACTTCTTTAACACCGAACTTTGATAAGCATCAGGGACACGACGTGCCTTGCCAGATTCCAACCGTCAAGACTGCTGTTGTACCAGGAGACTCATGGATTTGACTAGGGGGAAAGACTAATCTACACTATTCGGGAAAGGATACTCTTTAAAGGGTGCTCTTTTGGTCTTCAAGTCTCTTGCAAAAAAGCAGTCTTGTTTCAAGGGGCAAGACATTCCAGGCCCAAACCTGTCGAAGCATTCTTAGTAGCCATAGTGCAAGCAGGGTAAGGCAGTTCCTACACAGAACATGCCACCATTAGCTGAAAGCTTCGGAGAAGAGACACATCCGGGTACGACTGATGGACGACAGGGACTGGCTCTCCCGCGAGGACGGCCTCCAACCACCATCCCTTTTTCCATCTCTTCACACTTCTGGGACTTCAGCCCGACCAAGGTTTGGACTTTCTGAAGACCCATCACATGGAGGAGATCTTTGTTCAGTTTGGCCACAAGTGCGCATAGATGCGAAGCGAGTGTGAAAAGCTGAGTGAATTTGAGGAGACCCAGGATACTCAAAGGGAAGAAAGAGAGGAAGCAATAACGAAGGATCTGAAGGTCACGTTTCCCTAAAATCTAGGGCCCAAATCAATCATGTGAAGACTTCGTCAAGAAAACTGGCTCCCCTCCCAGCAACTAGCAGCTTCCTCTCGCGCAACATGTGTTTTTTCGTACCCTACTGTACCTATACCCCGTACCCCTAGGTTTGGAATTTCAGGTATGTGGAATGGATCAATGCCTCGAGTGCCAATATCATCTTTAAAAATGCCGAGGGTGCCAAGAAGGCATGCGTATTACGATGTATCATGTCGTGTGAAATGGTGTGGACTGTCCAGGGTTTACTTTGATTTGTCACATTCAAGAAGCCATGAAACGGTGCGTTTGCGGCGTTTGAGTGGCCATTGCCTGTTTTGCCATCGTTTTGACAGCCCAACACTGCATCCGTATTGGTTCCTTGCAGCCCTTTGCTGAAACGGAAGAAGGAGAAAAAGCAACGGAAGTGGACCGAAACAACGGAGACACGCAGGTGTCGCTTTAAAGACAGCGCATTTGGGTCGTTTTTTTCTCCCGGAGACCGGTCCGTCTCGCGTCTCGCGCGTCTCGCGCTTTGAGTCGGAGGCTTTGGAGGCGCTGTCCTTCCCAAAGACCGAGGACGAGCCTTGGAGACGCACTCCGGACATCCTGGTCAGCGAGGCGGACGACGCCGTGGAAACGCGACGCGACGCGACGCGTCCGATGGCCTTCTTGCTCCGTTCGTAGCGATTCCAGGAGCCCCTAGTAGCGTCCGATCGCTCCTAGCAGTAAGGCCAGGAGCCCCTAGTAGCTTCTTGTTCCTACTAGCATGAGGCAAAACCATGGTGAATCACAGCATTTGACGGCTGTCATGCGTCCACATGACATGAGGCAAAAGCTCAAGCTTGTCACTCCCTATTCTTGGTGATCCCATGGGATGGTGGTCTTCACACCGTGTCTCCTTGTAGGGTGTGCCACCGATCTTCCTCCAAATGCGTTTGGCGACGGTGAACGACGTGAAGAAAGCCAAGAAGGCTGTGCCCAAGGCGAGGAAGTTGGAGGACCAGTGACAGACCTGCGTTTCACGTTCTCAAGACATGCAATTATTTGGTTGAAGAAGCAAGACAAAGAAAGAGGCCAGGGAAGAGGAAGAAGAGGAAGAGGTATGTTTTTGCAACTATGTTAAGGAAAAGATAAGAAGCATGCTTGAAAGGTATGTAGGACTCTGTAGGTCCAGCACCTGCTTCAAGTACCATTTCTCACTGTAAGAAAGGGCTCAAGAAATTCATCTGAACAAGACAGGGTGAGTAAATATTGAAAAGCAAGTAAAACATTGTTTCACAGCAAAGCAGCAAAGCAGTTTTCTCCTTGTCCTTTTCCATGCTATTTCTGTGTGAAAGTGAATTTCTAATCGTGCAACAAGAGGAGGTGGAGACAACTGAAACAATCTTCTTTCGTTGCTGTGTTCCTTTCGCAATGACTGGTCACAGGGGGCCCTCCGTTCAACCTTAAATGTTTGACGCCCGTCTCAAAAGCGACTTCGGCAAGGCCACTTTGGCCCGTTTGAGCGACCTCAATTCTGTACCCGGGAGTCCTAAGTAGCCCTCCAGGCCTAGTGCCCAAAAGCACAAGCATTGGTTGCGTGAAGCCAACAAACTTCGTGCAGCTGCAGCATCCAATATGAGGCTCTCTTTGGGCCTATCAGAAAGGTTCTAGGAGGTAGCCACAATGAGCACAGACATTGTCCTCACAGACAAAGCCCTACCAATGCCATCAACCTTAGCAAGTTCTTCGTACGGTGCTCCGCCAACTGGTGCCAATCAACCACATCAATGAGACACGCGGCAACCCATCGAGCATCAATGGTCATCCGGTGTCATCCGGTCAAGGAAGTCTGTCAAAGCGTGTTCTCAACGTTTGCGGTGGCTGTAGTTCCTATCTTCAGCCTGATTCTGCGGCTGGGAGATCCATCCCAATCTGCGAACAAGATCGAAAAAGCATGTGGAGTTGTAGCCACTAGTAGCGTCCGATCGCTCCGTTCGTAGTATGGCCAGGAGCCCCTAGTAGCTTCTTGCTCCTAGTAGCAGAATAATCAGCAACGTCCCTCACCAGGCTCAAGGCACCCAAGTTCATGGCTGCAAAATGTGAGCGACAAGCGATGGTGGTAGAAAAGACACACCTAACGATAGGCCGTCAAGCACCTGGGTCTTGCTCTGTGGCGCACCCGCTCTCAAGTCCCCTATAGAACATGTATTTGTTCCTCTCTCTCTCTCTTTCTTGCTGAGCAAACTCTTGGCAGCAGGGATCCACAGTGTTGGCCCGATCACATCCTGCCAAGGCTAGCATTATACATGACCCACGGGCCCTTCGACATACCGCAGCGGCACGAAGCCAACGCAACACCAGAATGCAACATATATGCGTAATACAATTATTATATGACATATATATAACAAAAGTAGAACTGGCTGGCAACATCATCAGCAGAAAAAACTCGCACATGGCCTTCCGAAAGCGGCTTTATTGCAAAGGGTCTACGCCAGCTTCTTGTTACTACTAACTCCTTGTTACTACTAGTAAGGCACCTGTTACTACTAGCGTGGCACTTGTTTCTACTAGCAAAGAGTCTAGAGTGTCAGCAAAGCACTAAGGATGGCCTCCAAGAACCTAGAAGCAATGGCCTCCAAGCTACTAGCGATGGCCTCCAGCCATGGTGTGTTTCAGCCACTTTCCAGACCAGCGCAGAGCCCTTAAAGAACCCCTTCACTTGGACGAGCGTAAATCAAATCATTCTGTACGAATTAATGTAGGGATCGGTTTAGACTCTTCAATCCTTGCAGAAGGAAGTCACCCCTTTCTTTGTTTGCGAGCGCAACGACCGAGGGGAGGGCATGCATACGAGCATCATTGCCCGGTTGAAACGTGAAATACCGTATGTCGACAAACCATGGGCAGATCTTGGAAGAGACGTCCAGACGGAAAATGTGGTACCATGTACTTACCTAAGGACCTAATGTTGCCATCGCTAGTAGGTTGGAGACCATTGCTCTTGGGGTGTTATTACATTAATTACATAAAAAAGAAGGCAGCGAGGCTCAAAGATGTCAAGCCACAAGGTGTTGAGATCAAAACATACTTCTCCGCCGTGCCAAAACTATGGGGATCAGACCATGGCAAGATTACAAAGGAAGGCAGGTCTTCAACATTCAGTCGCAAGCCGCCAGCACAATAGGAAGGTCTGTGAAAATCTAATTTGGAGAAGAGTTTGGACAACATGTCCTTGGCAGGCGATGTCACCCATGCACTATGCCCAGGCGAGCCTTAGTTGCTTAACTTAAACGGTTGCAGGAGCTGTGGTAACAAGTGGGTCAGGAACTTGACGGTTGGTTTACAAGGACTGCAATAGCTGAAGAGCGCAGGGTGGAAATTGATTAGTGCGATGCAAGTTTAAGTTCTTGAGAGGCAGGATATAACGAAGGGTAAAAGGTTAGTCATATATGAAGAGAAGGGACATGAAGGGATGCTATTAGGTTGGAGGCCATCGCTATTTGGTTGGAGGCCATTGCTATTAGGACAGAAAGCGGAAGAAAAGGCTTCAGGGCGGCTTTCCCTTCCCGGCTGGACCAGATTTGGTCGTCTTCGGCAGGTCTTTTACAAGAATCAGCAGCAAGCGATCCGAGAAGGCACCTTGACAGGGATGGATGTGAAGGAGTAGGAGTAGGAAAGGAAGAATGGAAAGGAAGATAGTAGTAACAATGTTTGCTATTAAATTAAATTAATAGCTTCTTGTTACTACTAGTAAGGCACCTGTTACTACTAGCGTGGCACTTGTTAGAATGGCAAGAATGACAGGGACACTGTTCTTGTTTCTGCATAAAGAAACAATTTAGGCGAGGGCACAAACATGTAGAAACGCTGAACAAACTGGAGGTTCCACCCTGTGAGGGCACAACCTTTCAAAGAAGATACGACAGGGATAGGGATCCGAAATAGGAACTGAACCATGGAAAACGCAGGCGTCCCTTTGTAATCGCGAAGACGAGGGATCTGAATTGCTTGTTGTGAATAGCCATTAGAGCTCAATAGGAGCAACTGGCACTGCTACTATTATTCGTACGACGTCGAGGAATAGCGAAACCTATAGTTGTAGGGACTGTGCACTACCGGAGTATTAGCTTCGCCGGACATGAATTGCCACCGCTGTGGTGTAACAAAAGATTCCTCACATTGTGGAGGCTCTTTTTGTTTCTTTCTTTCTTTAGATGTGTTTCTTTGTTGTTTCCTTTTTTTGGTTTTCTTTCTTTGGACCTCAAGCAGAACAAACTACTGATTATAGTCACTTTGAGGCATTGGGTTCAATGTTCCACAGGCTTCACACTCGTTTATTTCACACACTCCTTTTTCGCGTGCAAATACTGAACACTCGCGACAAGAGCCGTGTGAGGGCACAGCCTAAGATTGTGTTCGTTTTTGAAAGGTTGCAGCCGCAACGGTCTGACTTGTCTTCTTGAACCTGATGTATAGGCCAAACAATATCCGGAAGATTGGCAGTTCGCCCATGCTTGCTGGTCAGGTTGGCCGGCAACCCTGCCTCAACCCTGATAGGTTTTACGTGGGTGTGGTTTGTGAAGTAAAAGTTGAGACGTGGAGCATCCATGCCACGCGCGGGCGCTGCGTCGCATGACACCCACCTCCTCGCAACCCTCGCCAAGCCTTCGCAGAAGACATTAGAAGGTGTTCCGCTGAAACATGATCTGCCCCACCAATAGAAAGCATGTAGATGAGCCCTCTTATATAATACTTTAATTTGTGTGAAACGAGACTCTGAAATAGATTGCACATTCCTACAGTATTTTGTTCCCAGCCCTCAATTCCTCCACAATGCTTTTCAAGTCCTCAGGTCTTGATTATGATCACCCATCTTTGATTGTTAGAGACAACTTTGCCTGCACTTCACTGTTCTCAATTGTTTGTTTTCCACTTTCTTCATTCTTCTTCCTCACTTTTGACCTTATCCTTTCCTTTTGGCTTTACTTTATGACTATATAACTATTACTATAAATTAAAAACAAAACACTTATATCCTTTTTGTTTACTTTTCATTCTTTCCATTTCAGACTCAAATCCCCACCGCCAGGTCGCCCTCGGTCCAGAGCCTCAGCGACCAGCGACCAGCAACACCGAACTGCTCGCGCCCCGCCCCAAGGCCACGTGGAAAGCCAAAAGCCAAGCCCAAGGCTCGGTTTCTCTGAAAAGGGCGAAAAGACACGTAAAACCAGTAAGTGAACTGCACTGTTTTGTTTAGTGAAGCCCAAACCGGATCAGTAAACTGTATTGTTATTGTGTTAAAAGGGATTCTGACCGGTTGTTGCAAAGGGCAATTAATTAAGCTCAAGAATCAAGGTGAGCAGCAAGTGGTCAAGGGTATCAAGCAGAGTACGTGGTTGCAACATGTTTGCGTGTTTGCTAGCGTCACAGATCATCACCGCAGTCTATTACCACGTTTTCACAGTTGATTAAAGTCTCCTCGATTGTTTGAGATAAATACGGACAACTGTCCACTAAACACACAATATAGTGGACTATTTTTATAGGTGTTTGGGTTTGAAACTGCTTGCATTTCGTTCATATGATTTCAGATGAAGACCCGTGGCAGGTCGTTTTTCACAGACCAGAGTCGATCCTTGAGAGGCTGGCATCAAGAGACTCATCGTGACGGAGGAGGAGCAACAAAAGCGCCAGAGGCCGACCTCGCTAGTAGCATCCTTGCTCCTAGTAGCGATGCCAGGAGCCCCTAATAGCTTCTTGTTCCTAGTAGCGAGGCCAGGAGCCCCTAGTAGCGTTCTTGTTCCTAGTAGCGATGCCCTTGGCTCCTAGTAGTGTCTTGCTCCTGGTTCGTGTAAGAACTGGGGCGGTCAGGTTAGTGTTGAAAGCACCATGTTTCTTGTTTATTTTCCAAAGCGAAAGATTCCCACGGAGTCTAGTGGTGTTTCAACAAAATTGTACAAACCAATGAGGAATGAGAGTACATCCGCTCAAGTAGCTACGCATAGCTCCACCTAAGTATTGCTACCCCGTTGAGTCTCCAAGAGAAATATTCTTTTTTGTTCGGCGAGAGATTTCTTGTCAGCTTTTGCAAAAGGTGGTTCTTTCTGTGTCGACATGTAAGAATGCCTGCTTAATGCATTTCTACAATATCTTAATTCTGCTATAGGTTGCAGGCCATCGCTATGAGTTTGGAGGCCATTGCTAGTAGGTTGGAGGCCATCGCTAGTAGGCTGAAGGCCATCGCTTCTAGGGACCTGCTAAATTAATTTCTAGAATACCTGCTTGCGCGGGGAAAGAAAGACACCTCGAAGAGGGAAGAAGCAATTTCTTTACGACCAGGAGCAAGAAGCTACTAGGAGCAAAGGGCATCGCTACTAGGGGCTCCTGGCCTTACTACGAGCCAAAACTCACTAGTGCGAGCGCTTCTTCAAGGAAACTCCCCCCCCGCCTGCGTGAGCTGCGTCCATAATATGTGGTAGCTTACTTGTAGGTACTAGCGACTCCCTAGCTTCTACTAACTAACCTACCTCACTTCCACACGGCCTATCTCCCCCCAAAAAAACACATTTGTTTGACCAGATGTTACAAGGCTTAAGGCATGGACGGTCCGTTGCAAGAACGGTTTCAGCAAGAAATAGCACCTTTACTTTTGCGCGCCCCTTCAGGGAAGGAACTTAATCACTCTTTGGTTTAAACAAGTAAGGAAGAATGTATATAAGCACTCTTAAGCACTCTTTAGTAAATAACCGGAACACTTACGCGCTTTTCGAAGCAGAGCACTTGGAAACACAAACCAACCTACTGCGGAGAAGTCTGCAAATTGGAACCGGGTCCTGCCTGCCAGGCGTGCAGACCGTTTCGAAGGTGAAGCGCCTCACTGAGCTGTTCAAAAGGAAGGGAGTTTCTGGTGCAACACAGAACTGTTGCTAGTAGCGTCCTTGTTCCTAGCAGTAATGCCAGGGGCCAGGAGCTACTAGTATTTTCTTGCTCCTAGTAGCGATGCCCTTTGCTCCTAGTAGCGTCCTTGTTACATTTTTTCACGGAACGACACCTTCCACTTTCTACTCCAACTTTCGATGCAAACGCAATGCAGCCCTTGACGAAACAATTGGCAGTTCAAGTAAGTGAAAGGCGGACAAAGTATTTACAGAGGGAAGATGGACAGATGCACATTAGTCAAGAATGCGTTTGGATGCAGGATATTGCAAGTAGTCAGATTTTGTTCGTGTTATGGGCTCCACTCAGTCGTTGAATCCCAAGAATCACTTCTGCTGATATGTAATGACCGATGAACAACAACGTGTAGAGGACTCAATAGAGTCCGAAGGCCCAAGAAGCCCAATGCCAAAATGCTACTAGGAGCAAAGGGCATCGCTACTAGTAGCTCCTGGCCTTACTACTAGGAGCAAGAAGCTACTAGGAACAAAGGGCATCGCTACTAGGAACAAGAAGCTAGTAGAAACAAGTGCCACGCTAGTAGTAACAGGTGCCTTACTAGTAGTAACAAGAAGCTACTAGGGGCTCCTGGCCGTACTACTAGGAGCAAGGACGCTTCCAGGAGCTTCTTGTCCTCAGGTGACCGTGGTGCAAGGCGTCGGCATGACGTCGAAGAGTCGCTGGAGTCTTGAAGACGTCGTTTGCTACGGAGATACCTTTCACTAGGGCCGCTAGGTGGACTTAAGGGTCCAACTTGAAGGGTTTGAAATCACGCAAATCACTAAGAAAGACAAAGTCGAGAAAGAAAAGGAAAAGAAAGCAATCATGTAGAGCAATAAGTAGTTAAGTAGTTGCCACTTTTGGGTGTTGTCAGGCTCGGACGCTGAGAAGAAAGTGCCTTGGAGGTTTATGACAGTGGATGACAAGCTACACTTAACTGTACTAGGTACTAGTTTCAGTGTATCCCTTCTTCTCAAACAGAAGTTCCATTGTGTCAGTAAGAACGCCATACAACAATCCGACTTACATCTGTTCATGAAACTTGTTCACCATGTTCTCATTAAGCCCTTCAAACTTCAATGGAATCAGTGCACCTTGCACACTGAGGGTGCTGCAGAAGGAGAAGCAGCTGATGCGGAAGCGTTGGTAGATAAGGCGGGCAGGCAGTACGGCTGTAATTACGGGTTCTTAAGGTACATGTTGCACGGACATGATGTCTCTTTGTGGATGGCCACTGCCACTTTCTGTGCACCTGTGTTCCTTTTTGTTTTTATATTGTTGTTAGTGTCGGGGTCAAGGGCTTTCACACAATATTTGGCTGCCCAAATCTGTAGGCGAGCTATACTTTGGCTAGACACGACTTCCGAGGAGAGAGTGCAACCTGAAACCTCATGGTCAAACACCGTTGTGTTTTGCTTCCACCAGGGTGTGACTTTGTTTCTGGATGTTTCAAATTTGTGCATGTTCACATGTGGCCATGACGCATCACACTGATACTGTTGTGGAGGGAGCAGTTCCTTTCAGAACTGTTCGAACAAGTTTCTTCATTGTCACCCAGGACTCAAGGTCGCCTTTTCGATGCTAACCAATGTATAGATGACCAGCGTAAACTCAAAAATGAAAGCCATGTAGACCGTGCTTCGTGGGATTTTGTCCAATTTCGCAGTGCTCCAGACCTAATGCATCAGACATGCGAACCGGTTTGAAGCACATGACAAGGTTTCGGGAGGTATTTACAGCACTTTTGGTGTGAAGGGATTGATTTCCAGCCACTCGAAACCTAAACCAGTGGTGCACAAGAAGCTCATTGGCCACTCGCCTGGTAAGTTTGGCCTTTATTTTCCAGTTGGACACCAACATAGCACTCCACTGCATGTTGAGGCTGCAAACACAGATGCTCCTGGCAAAGAAGCAGCTGATGCGGAAGCGTTGGTAGATAAGGCGGGCGGGCGGTACGGCTGTAATTACGGGTTCTTAAGGTACATGTTGCACGGACATG